TGGCACTGGCCATACGGATCCTGTTCTACTGCAGAGACTCTACTTTGCTTGTGGGTCTGTTTCTCAGGTCAACTACTTCTTCATTATTTCTTTAAACTATAATATAAACACAAACTCTGAATTTGCGTGAAACTCCATCCAGCCATGCAGGATACAGATCCATGCATCTCTTTTGGCTGGTATATACCAAGCTATCTTTCTAGATAGGTCATGGCTGAGGAATTGCATCATCCTTCCTTGCAGAGGAACTCTATGTCCTCTACAGCTGTTCCTATCTTGTCTGATGGTGACACAGCTCATTGTACTGAAAGAGTGTACAGATGCAGCAGCGATCTTTCCACCAGACTGAGCCAGCACAGCTGCGCCGCACCCATAATATGGCTCCTATGGCATAATCTCATCGTACTGGACCTCCCGATATTATTCGCAAACCATTCCCAGTTCCAATGCAACCAAATACGTCATCTCCCGTTCCACCTGTTCCACGAACCACGTCAGCCAAAGTGTCATCTGAGAATACTCAGAATGATGACACTCCACATGGTATGAAGAAAGCTGCCGAACTTGCTCATGATCCTATTACCGAATACCCCAGTTCCGACGAAGATCGGGAAACAGAGGAAGAAGACACCAAGCTCCCATTGGAAGCGAACCAACCCTCCACTTAACGCCTTTTACAACCTCACATATACCACGTTGACTGCAAAATTGCCAAACCTAAACCCTAAATATAAGCCACATGATTCATTCGATTCTATTCACCATAATCCTGTATTAGTAAACGAGTTAAATAGTACTGGAAACGGAGATGACCCAGAGGGCATATGAATCCTTGACCCTCGCGATTTTCGGCAAGACTGAAGTTTGAGTGCCGCGTGAATGGCATGAAAGAAAGAAGATCCGAATAATGCCAAAAATCTGACACCGCACAAAATCACAAGAGACAACAGCGAAAGGGCAAATTCAAGATTCTTTCTTCTTTTGTTGAGAATCCTAGAGATAGCACACCATGGCCAACGAAGATATTCCCGTAGCTCAAGCAGTGCCTGCTGCAGACTCCCAACTTGTGCAAGTGATAGCTCCTGCGACGCTGGATGCAGGTAAGGTCACAACAGGAGGATACCCCAGTATTCCACGTTCCACGGTAGACAAGCACTGATAGTGGTACCATAGCCCAGTCTACCTTTTGATGAGTAGCGTTTCTGATCCTTCTTTTTTGTCCATCTGTTCAGGCTACTCTTTCATGGCGAAAGTGGATGGTAAGACAGTTTCCATCACAGTGGTAAGTTACCTGCTAGTACATGTACATGTACTGCATGCATGGTCTGCCGAACCTATTCCCACGTAGCTGTGGCTAGCTAGCTAGCTAGCTAGCCATAGCTAGGGCACAACTTGAGAAGCCAATGAGAATAAGACGAATGCTGTCACTCACTGAATATATCAATCTGTCTTTCATCTTTTGCTGTCTTATCAA